TTAGTTTCTGTTGCTAGATGGGTCCTATTGTGTTGCAGATGATGAACCTTTGACAAAGGATTGGGTTTCTGCCTCTGGCCCATTGACAAAAGCGGGGGAGGCAGGAAGATGGGAGCTGCTTTGTCTTTAAAACATGTTTCTCCATTTCTCATCCAGGGAAATATATTCTGCCTTTTTAATATTTCCTAAAATATTTCATTCTTCTAGGAAAGGGGCAGGTGCTAACTTCCTACAGCCCTAAAGGGGATGCAGACTAACTCTGACCATATAAAAATATTAGAGGTTGGTTGAGAAACACATGTTATAATTTGTAATTGCTGGGAACGTTAAAAGTTAGGCTGGGAAACAATATTTTCCAATGGGCTCTTTTTCAGCATTACAATGTTTATGCTGTTCCTTGATGTTGGAAGACTCATGGAAGGGGTTTAATGATGCTTTCTAAGGAGAAAAGGCAAAAATATACTTTAAAGAACAGAACTTGGAATCAACAGAATGTGAGCAACAAAAACCATTGCCTTTTGGGTACTTGTTTCCCAACTCCCTGCTAGCAATAATAACAACTTAATCTCTCTCAAGTCTTGGGTCATTATTATCATGGTCTATTTACTGCATCCCAAAGTAGCAAATTCCACATCTCGCTGGAAAGAGAACCAACTGCTGCCAGTTGTGTGTTGCTGGTTCTGTCTTGAGAGTTCCTCCCACTGGTGGTGCCAGCAAGGGCCTTTTTGTCATCACATTTTTACTATGTTTACAGTATTCCTTGTGGTAGGGGATGCATTTTGCCCACTCCATTCTTGTGGTCCTTAAAAAGGGGGCAGTGATGGTTTTGGACAGGCTTTTAAGATTCTATTAATACATAACAGAAATTAGCATTCCTTGAATCTCTGGGATGTCTGTTTCTTGATCTGGCCTAACTCAACAGCTAATGGTGGCAGAATAGGGATCAGCAAGCATAGTTTTCAAGTATAGTTCAAAGAACAGAGGATGGCACTTTAACAATGAGCCGAGGTGGTGCAGTGGTTAGGGTGCAGTACTGCAGCTACTTCAGCTGACTGCTAGTTCAGCAGATCAGTGGATCAAATCTCACCCGCTCAAGGTTGACTCAGCCTTCCATCTTTTCGAGGTGGGTAAAATGAGGACTCAGATTGTTAGGGGGCAATATGCTATTTAGTATACTGTTTTTGGTGTAGGCCGCCCAGAGTCCTTGGAGAGTGAGCGGCATAGAAATATGACTAATAATAATAATAATAATAAATAACAGTTTTTCTCTGTGGCAGGATAGGATCATCAGGTGTGGCAATATATTTGATGACAATTGAGCTCTTTGTTAGCCAAAGGAGTACAGTAATGGACAGTAGAACACTTTAAGTGACAAGAGCTCCCAGCAACAAGTCCATATTGTATACCTGTATACTGCGTGAGCGAAAAAGAGGGCTGAGAAAAATATCTACAAACACCTCACATCCTGGATGTAAACTGTTTCAACTCCTCCCCTCAGGATGCTGCAATAGAGCACTGCATGCCAAAACAACTAGACACAGGGACAATTTCCCCACCCCTATCCCCCATGCCATCACTCTGATAAACCCTAATTCCTACAACATTGTCTTATGCCTAAGAATATTTACCCATGTAGTAGGGCTGTATTGTTATTATCCTTCTCATCTTTGATAGCAGTGTTCCAATATCTCAGGGCTGTCACAAAGAAGAGGGAGTCAAGCTATTCTCCAAAGCACCTGAGGGTAGGACAAGAAGCAATGGGTGGAAACTAATCAAGGAGAGAAGCAACCTAGAACTAAGGAGAAATTTCCTGACAGTTAGAACAAATAATCAGTGGAACAACTTGCCTCCAGAAGTTGTGGGTGCTCAAACACTGGAAGTTTTTAAGAAGATGTTGGATAACCATTTGTCTGAAGTGGTGTAGGGTTTCCTGCCTAAGCAGGGGTTGGACTAGAAGATCTCCAAGGTCCCTTCCAACTCTGTTATTCTATTCTATTCTATTCTTTTCTATTCTTATCTTATGATTTATCACTTTGTTGTTTGTATCTTATTATTTATGATTTATCACTCCGTTGTTTGTATGTACACTGAGAGCTTATGCACCAGAGACAAATTCCCTGTGTGTCCAATCACACTTGGCCAATAAAGAATATTCTATTGTATTCTACAGTATTCACTGAGGGTGATTCCCAGTTTCTGGCTTTTTTTTTCCTCTAACTCACAGAAATCTTCTAGATCAGGGGTGTGAAACTCACGGTCCACGGGCTGGATGCGTCATGCGCTGGCCACACCCTCACCTGGTTTAGCGAAGGGGAAAATAGTCACTATACTATACGACACGTGACAATGTCATGATGACTCAAGTATGACACCCCTGTTTTAGTTCTTCTTGCAGATATGGCATTGACTTGGAATAAGATACAGGTAGTCTTTCCATAAATAAAAATAAAAATAAATATTGCATCTTGATTATACATATTATTTTTATTCTTCTGCTGTATTCATAGATGACAATTTTAACACGGTCCCTGTTGTGTACAAACCAGGAAGATGGATTTTCCTTCTTTATTTTCATAATGCTTGGTAAGAAATGTAAACAGTGAAAAGCTCTTTCAAGCCGACTGGAATTGAATGTCGCCATTAGCTCATCGCTCTTCTGTAAGCCCTTTGTCCATTATAATACAATAGGCAGCTTCTGAATTGTTCTGATTTATTAATCTTGCATTTACTTTTAGTAATTAAATAGTAATATTTTAGTACTATAACAGCTTATCGGATGCCTTGAGAGAAAAGACTGTTGTGCTTTCATGATAGAAATAGCAGTCAATTTACTACTCATTTTCCAGTTGTCGGCTACATTCACATGTGCACTGCCTGCTAATAGGAATCTTCCCTTCATGTGTTTCTCCTTCCATTTCTTCTTCCATCTCTTCCATTCATCTCTCCTAAATGCAAAGTTGGAGACTTCCCAAAACAGTGCAGCAATTTAAAGGAGGAAGGATCCATTCCTCTGTGCATTAGACTTTTTGTGAAATAAATTGAAATCCCTGTAATTGTTTTTGGAACCTGCACCAGGGATGGGTTCTACTTACCTTTACTACTGGTTCACAATGGGGCCGCATGCGAGCACTCTTCTGCGTATGCGCAGAAGCATTTTGATGACGTTGGGGTTGGTGGGCAGAGCCTCCCACCAGTTTTACTACCGACTGTATAGAACCGGTGCAAACCGAGGGCAACCCACCACTGACCTGCACCCTCCTGTATTGTGGGTGGTATCAGGCCATATAAGAGGTGTGTTACCTCTTATCTTCCCTCTCCAAGAATTCCCTGGGAGGATTTCCATCTCGAAGGATTCCTTGGAGGAATTTTTCTTAAAACCTTGCTCTGTAATCCTTTTAATTGAGATAACAGGAGCTCAAGACCTACCATGCTATTGTTACTAAACACCCCTCCCTCATCTGAAAAATAAAAGTTTGTGCATAAAGGTAGCCCTTGATTTACGACCACAATTGAACCCAACATTTCTGTTGCTAAGTATGACAGTTGTTAAATTTGTTCCATTTTATTATCTTTCTTGCCACAGTTCTTAAGTCAATCACTGCAGTTATTGAGTTACTAACAGGGTTGTTAAGTGAATCTGGTTTCCCCATTGACTTTGCTTGTCAGAAGTTTGCAAAAGATGATTATATGACCCTGGGACACTGAAACTGTCATAAATACATGCCAGTTGCCAAGCATCTGAATTTTGATCATGTGACCACAGGGATAATGCAACGGTCATAAGTGTGAAAAACGGTCATAAGCCATTTTTGCAATGCTGTTGTGACTTTGAACAGTTACTAAACGAAAACTGTCGTTTTAAGTTGAGGTCTACCTGTACAGTAGATATATTTACTGGAATACTTTAGCATAGGTTGTTGTATCCAACAAATAGATTAGTATTTTTTCCCCCAACTATTTGTATAAGGATCATTCTCTATACCAGTGTTGGTAAACCTTTTCAGCACTGAGTGCCGAAACTGGAGTGCACGTGCATGTGTGGGAGAACGCCAGAAACCGGAAGAGCAGCTCCCTGGCGAGCACATGCAGGAGCGCAGGAAACTGGAAGACCAGTTCCCCGGCGCGCATGTGTGCACTGGGAAGCTGAGCTTCTGGTTTCCGGTGCACACATGCGTGCGGTCACCTGGTCTTTCGATTTCTCGTGCATGCACACAGGAAGACCATGCATGCTGGAACCTGGAAGAGCAACGGGCGATGGCTGGCATGCCCGGAGAGATGGCTTTGTGTGCCACTTCCAGCACATGTGCTATAGGTTCACCATCATGGCTCTATACTATTTATGTTGTCCTGTATTTTCTGCTATGGATTGCACCAGTAGAGGCTAAACCAATTTCGTTGTACACATGATGTACAATGACAATAAAGACTATTATTATTATTATTATTATTATTTGTTGTTGTTGTTGTTGTTGTTGTTATATTATTATTATTATTATTATTATTATTATTATTATTATTATTATTAATTATGCCATATGTATTTCTGGTCAATACAGTAAAATTTCTGAGTCTCCAAAACAGTAACCCTCAGTTCACTGATGAGGAACTAAATAAATATATCACATAATAGGCTTTCTTTCTGAATAAAGTTTTATGCTATGTGACTGCAGTCTATTTATGCTAACTTGGTTCACTGAGGGTCTTGGTACCTCCAAGTAGATGCACGTAAGATATGGACGTACCATTACTTTTATTTGCATTTTTTTTCAATCTAAATAAATATATTAGCAATCTAAGCATATAAAACATTTTAGCAAGTGAGTTTGTTAATCCAGCAAACTCACTTTCTAAAATGCAATGGGCATAAAAATGTAACCTATGCCATGACTCAGCACTCATTCCAATTCCAAGTTTTTTTTAAAAAAAAACCAAACCCAGGACTTTTGCACTTTATGTTAATGAGCAGGTGTTCCTTCTTTCTAGCTAAACATTTATTTTCATTTCACTTCCACACATCCCCTCCAGCCTGAGCAGTACGCAGGAATATAGGAAACTTTTCAGAGTGAACAAAAATTGGAACTGAAAAAGGAACACTTGGAGATGGAAGATAAGAAAATCGTAAATGTGACCTCAGCATGGTGGGTGATTAAAATCACTTACCTTCTGACGGCTATGGATCTGACCTACATGTTTATGCAATTTGGGATCGTGCCAGTGAGTACAAAGTGTGAATGCTTGCTGCCTGTTCAGTTATTGCTTGAAACCATGGCATGTTTCTTGGTACTACTAAGTAGAAATCCATTTAACCATGTCACCTCAGATAAATTAAAATAGACGAACTAATATTTGTCCTGCAAAATAATAATAATAATAATAATAATAATAATAATAATAATAATAATAATAATAATAATTTTATTTCTATACCGCCCTTCTCCCGAAGGACTCAGGGCGGTGTACAGCCTATTTAAAAACACAGACAAAACAATGATATAAAATTTAAAATAATTAAATAAGTGGCTCAAATTTAAAACCCCAATAAATTTAAATACCCCAATTTAAAACTATTGTGTTGATAGTCCGGCCTGGCGGAACAACAGGGTCTTCAATGCGCAGCGAAACACCCGGAGGTCAGAGATCTTACGAATTTGTTCTGGTTACCTCATAAGGATAGGCTGTATAAGGAACTTTCCCTCAAGACTCTCCTTGAGTCTTGTTTCTGTATCAGCTCCCAGGCCAAGGAATAAACAAATTTAGTTAATTGTTGTTTTTGTGGTTTTGTACTGTTTCTTGTTTTTAAATGCTTTTAGCAAATTGTAAACTGTCCAGAGTTGCTGGGAGTCATGTGGCATATAAATGTACTTATTATGGTTGTTCATACAGACAGCCAGAGTAAATTTGAAATTTTTATCCATGTATTGATTCTTTTTTTTTTTTAATTTGATTTATATGCCGCCCTTCTCCGGAGACTCAGGGTGGCTTACAGTGCGTTAAGCAATAGCCTTCATACTTTTGTATTTTTTATATAAAGTCATCTTATTGCCCCCACAAACTGGGTCCTCAGTTTACCTACCTTAGAAAGGATGGAAGGCTGAGTCAACCTTGAGCCTGACAAGATTCGAACTTACTTTAATTGCAGACAGCTGGTGTTAAATTACAGTGCTTTGTCTGCAGAGCTATGAGATTCTTCTCATGTAGGCAGATGTTGTTCAATGGTGTTAAAGGTATCATCGCAGGATGTAAGTTGATCCAAGTAAAGCCACCTTTTTCAATTGACTAATGGTGGTTTTGTTGATGCTGATGGTATTCAAATGGTACTCCAGGTATTTTAGAATTGTACACAAGGAGTCTATTATTATCATCTTCTCATTAGACTTGATTTGTAATTATTATGGTTGGTCCCATAGTCAGTCAGATGTTTAGATTGGATTTAGCAATTTTATCCACCTATTGAGTCCTTCCAAAGACCTGGGATAGGCAGATGTTGTTTGAGGATGATGTTGTTGTTGTTAGTATTATTAGTTTGTCGCATAGTCAGCCAGATGTGAATTACTGGATTTGGCATTTTTATCCACCTTCCCAAGGATCGGGGATAGGCAAATATTGATGTTTTATAGTGTTAGAGGTATTCTTAATAATTAATAATAATAATTATGGTTATTATTAATTGGGAGCTGAATAGAATTTTTTAAATCACATTTTCTGATGAGATTGATTATAGGCTGTTCAGGCTGTTATGGTTTAATTGCTAGGGACGCAGTTATTCATTATGTATATGGATGTTTTAAAAAGAGATGTTGGATGCAACTTTGAAATCATTTTTCCAAACTTAGAAATGCCCCTCTCTACATCATTTCCAAAAGTTGTTTTTAGTTCTTCTGGACTCCTCAGTGGTAAAAGAGAAAACAATTATTGAGGAAAAGGAAAATGAATTAAAGTTATAATCCCTTGCTTATTTTTGATTTATGCTGCAAAATGATGCTAAGAGTTTTATAATGTAAATATTTATTTCCCACTAAATAGACAAGAGCTTATAACCGTATAAAAGAGTTTAACAGAATTCAGTGAATCGTGTATAAACACAAAGTGAAATCTGAAGTTTAAAGTGGTTCTTAATCAAGATTAAGCAGTATTCGGTTTGTATTGGGGGGAGGGGTTTGGTAGCTGAAAACGCCATCAAATTAAACTTAAATCTCTGACCAATAGGAGTGGAGGTAGAAATATTCCTTTCATTTTCTTTTAAAATGAAGGAAGAAAGAGGAACTAAGGCTTGAAGGTGAGTTACAGTTTATAGCATGTTGTCCAACCTTGACAACTTTAAAACCTGTGGACTTCAGTTCCCAGAATTCCCCAGCCAGTCAGAAATCCATAAATCCTAAAGTTGCCAAGGTTGGACACCTCTGGTTTATAGGTATATCTAGCTGAGCATGGCTGATTGAGAAGTTAAGCAATATTCAATCTGATTAATAGCTGGATGAGAAACCATTATGGAATATCAATGCTGTAGGCTAGACTGTGAAATGAATGTTTTAAAAGACAATAGCGACCACTTCCATATGGATCAGAGGTAAAATGCTCCCAGTTCGGACCAGATTGCCCGATCCAATAGCGATGGAGGCGGGTGGTTCGGAGAACTGGTAGCAAAAATCCCTGCCCTCCCCCTCCCCCATGCCCAGCTGAGCAGCGCGATCATCAGAGGCTTTTTAAAAAATTATTTTTAAAACCATTTTTTCTACAACCTCTTCGGCCAAAAAAATGCTTTTAAAAGTTAAAAAAAAAAGTCTCTGATGTTCGCGCGGCTCAGCTGGGATCGTCAGAGGCTTTTAAAAGAAAAAAAGCCTCTGCCAATCAGGCAACTCAGCTGGGATCGTCAGAGGCTCTTAAAAGCATTTTTTCTACAACCTCTTTGGCCGAAGAGGTTGTAGAAAAAATGATTTTAAAAGTTGTTTTTTAAAAAAAGTTGGCCACGCTTACCCAGTCACATTACCCCACCACCACCAAGCCATGCCCACAGAACCGGTAGTAACAAATTTTAGATTTCACTACTGATATGGATGTCAAGAAAATTATACAGATCATCAGAAGTCATGATCAACTTCACCTTTTTTTTTAACATCCCTTTCAAAAATGTAATGTCTAACCTTTCTATTTTCTCCTCTGTTTTAGTATTTGGCAACTAACTTGGGTTTGGATGCAATTGGATTTGGCTACTTGCAAACATTCTTTGGTATTCTTAAGCTTCTGGGTGGCCCCATCTTTGGAAGGTAAATCTAAAGTGTTGTTCTTCTGAGCTCTTATGCAATGGCAGAATTATCCTAAATTAATAGTATCATGTTTAACTTAGGAAAATAATTCAGATTTAGTATCCATTTCAATTAAACATGCAGGATAAAACAGAAAAGGGGAAAATCTGAAGAATACCCTTTATGGTGTATTAACTAGTACTTAGGGATCTGATAAGAGCAAAACTACTTTCCTTACAACTTTAGTGTTTTCAGACTACAAGCTCACAGATTTTTCCAAGAAGCGTGATCATTGCTGAGAACTCTGGGAATTGAAGTCCATGCAATTTTCTCTAAGCTTGGGGAACACTGGAGTAAGGCCACTGCTGCTGATAACATCAGTTGATTGAAAAGATTATATGGGAGACTGCTTGAGAAGGCAATTTAGTAGTCTGTGTTATTTGCTAAAATTTTCAGGATCACATACATTTAGAATGATTCTGAGCATCTATTTTTGATTGGTATTCATCAGTCCTAATAAATATTCATCCACTATTCCGATAGATGATAAACGATAGATGGTAGATGATATTACGTGAGTTGCGCCTGATTTTATGACCTTTTTTTGCCACCGTTGTTAAGCAAAGTACAACAGTTGTTAAGTGGGTTGTACAGCTGTTAAGCAAATCCAGCTTCCTCTATTAACTTTGTCGGAAGCCAGCTGGGAAGGTCACAAATGGCAATTACATGACTCTGGGATACTACAACCATCATAAATACATGCCAGTGGCCAAGTGCCGGAATTTTGATCACATAACTGTGGGGATGCTGCAACGGTTGTAAGTACAAGGACTGATCATAAGTCACTTTTTTCAATACTATTGTAACTTTGAATAGTCACTAAACAAATAATTGTAAGTAAAGGACTACCTGTAGATAGATAGATATGTGTCCAGATTTTTTAGAGATCAGGTTGGTGGTTTCCGATATGACAGGTTCTGCTTTTCTAATTGAGGTTCAGTCAATGTTCTAAATGATACTGCATCATTCTTCTTCCAGGCTTGCTGACCAGTTTGGAACCAGAGCTGCCTTGACTCTTTCATATTTGGCTGGATCTCTGTGCTTCTTGCTCCTCTCTGTATCCTCCAGTGTCCCCCTGCTCTTTCTTTCCAGAGTTCCAGGCATCTTCACTCATGGATTACCAGGTAATGTTACAAGATATACAAATCCAGGAGTCAATAGTCTCCAGTTGCCTTGGTTATTAATTGAGCATGAAGCACTTCAGATGTGAACATGGAAAGATGCTTCATAGTTCAACAAAAGCAGGCAATTTTCCACTGTCTTCACAGGTGCACAGATGGTTATAACAGATTTGACAACTCCTGCCAAACGTGCTGATGCTTTAGGAAAGCTTGGAGTTTGTTTTGGAATAGGAGTAATTCTTGGACCTTCCCTGGGTGGTATCTTAACCACAAAGTTTGGGTGAGTAGTCCAATGGCCATATGAGTAGTTGTGCTTGGTGGGTAGTCATATTTCAGCTATGAAGTTGGATCATTCTTGACCTATTAAGAAATGCCTTATTTTGTGCCAAAATACCAGTAAATAATGTGAAACTGCATGGAAAAAATATAAAGGAAAAGATTGCTCTGTGTTGTGAAGGAATAACGTTCTGTTTAATACTCCCAAACCAAACCACCCCAATGATGCCCTTGACATGATGTCCCGGTGCCTGGAGGCCATGCAGATCTGGATGGGGAGAAACAGGCTCAAACTCAACCCCTCCAAGACTGAGTGGCTGTGGCTCGCGGCGGCCCGGTATAGTCAGCTGGCACCATCGCTGACTATTGGGGGTGAAACCTTGGCCCCCACAGAGAGGGCTCGCAACTTGGGTGTTCTCCTGGATGCACTGCTGTCTTTGGAAGATCATATGACGGCCGTGGCCAGGGGAGCTTTTTATCGGGTTCACCTGGTACACCAGTTGCGTCCCGTTCTGGACCGGGATGCCCTGCGCACAGTCACTCATGCCCTCGTCACGTCACGTCTGGACTACTGCAATGCTCTCTACATGGGGCTCCCCTTGAAGAGCACTCGGAGACTCCAGCTGGTCCAGAATGCGGCCGCGCGGGTGCTTATGGGTGCAACTCGGCGTACCCATGTAACACCCCTCCTGCGTGAGCTGTACTGGCTCCCGTTGGTCTTCTGAGTGCAATTCAAGGTGTTGGTCACCACCTAAGCTCCATGGCTTAGGACCGGGGTATATACGAGACCGCCTTCTGCCAACAACAACCTCCCACCGGCCAATACGTTCCTACAGAGAGGGGCTCCTCAGGGTGCCGTTGGCCAAACAATGCCGACTGGCGACACCCAGGGGGAGAGCCTTCTCTGTGGGGGCACCAGCCCTTTGGAATGAGCTGCCCCTAGAGCTTCGTCTTAGCCCCGACCTGCGCACTTTTCACCGCGTCCTTAAGACCCTTCTGTTTCAGCAAGCCAGACTGGCCTAATATGAATTTTAAATGGGTGTATGTGTGTTTTAAATTGAGGGCCAAATTTTATATATCTGATTTTAATTGGTTTTAAATTTTATAAATTCATGTGTTTTAATATGGCTATACACCACCCTGAGTCCCTCGGGAGAAGGGCGGTATAGAAATTTAATAAACTTAAACTTAAACAAAAAATAATTGTTGCATTTTAATTTTTTTCCTTCTTTTTAATTGTGCCTGATTCTCAGAGACTGCCTTGGCAAGTCCCTGCAGTTTTCTTGGCAAGGTTTTTCAGAAGTGGCTTGCCATTGCCTCTTTCTAGGGCTGAGAGAAAGTGACTGGCCTAGGGTCATCCACCTGGCTTTGTGAGTAAGATGGGAGTAAATCCCACAGACTCCCAGTTTCTAGTCTGATGACTTAACCACTACACCAAACTGGCTCTCTGTATTTTTTAATCCCCTTTCCTTTTGCTGGAAAAGAAAATGATTCTGAAATGGAGATCAATTCTAGATCCTAGGTAGAAAAAATTCTAATGGAAGAAATGTGGAATTCTTTCATTTGCCCTGGTTACCAGCAGCTGAGGGTTTGTGTATGTGTTTACTCTTTCACCTTACAATAATTTCTCCAGTGGCTTGTAGCATTTCTAGTTTCAAACACTCCAGTGGAGTCCCAAAAAGAAAAAATCAGGGAATTCCTTCAACATTCTTTTCTTCAAACCAAACACCATTAACAGGTGGGGAGGCTATAAAGTGGTAAAGAAAATATAACATACAGTAGAATCAAAACAGCCAAAATGGCTCTCTCTGTCATCTCCAAAATACAGATAGTCCTTGAATTACAACCACAATTGGGACCAGCATTTCCCTTTGTCAGCAAGGTAGTTGATAAATGAATTGAACTTGATTTTATGGAGAGTTTTTTGCCATGGTTGTTAAGCAGATCCCTGCAATTGTTAAGTAAATCATGCAGCTGTTAAGCAAATCCAGCTTCTTCCATTGACTTTGCTTATTGGATGATCACAAAATGCCAATCCCCACCATAGATACATGCCAGTTGCCAAGCACCCAAAATTTAATCACATGACCATGGAGTTGCTGTGACAGTCATAAGTTTAATTTCTTTAATTTCACAACATATTGACATAGTCACAGCATACTGACAAATTTAACCATAGTTTCAATTGGGAAAATGTGACCATCCTAGACCAGGCCAAGTCTAAAAATGCCAGGGAATTTCTAGAAGCCTGGCACTCTGACAAATTAGCTATCAACAGACACATAGACATTAACAACATCTATTGACTAGGCAAAAGAGATAATCAACCAGCCCAAAAGGAAAAAAAAAGACTTAAGCACCTCTCCATCAGTAATCAGCACTCAGATCAGCATAGATTAACTCCAAGGTTAACTTCAGACCAACAATCAAGTAAGCAATAGCCCAATCAAGAAACTGCCAAAGAGCCATCAGTAAATAGCCCAACCAAAGAATTTCTAAGACTTAGAATAACTTTATTGTCACTTTGAATGTACACTAATCAGCATACATTAAAATGAAATTTTGTTGCATACAGCTCTGAAAGAGTCACCACTTCCAATATACACTACATAAACATGACAAAATAAATAAATACAAAATTATGCATATACCCACATATATTATATGGCACAGAGAAACAACACAGTCCAGTTTGGATGTATAGATGTACATGGATGTATACATGTATAGCGACCCCATCCACACAGACAGGCAAGTCACCAGAATATAAACTGATATCAAACAGCACTCCTTACTAACAGTGATGATGATAGTTCAGGTAATGAAACATCTGCAAAAAAACAAGCTCAGAGAACACCAAGAACTCCTCACAGTCATAACTGCAAGAACCAGTTGTAAGTCATTTTTCAATGCCATTTAATTTCAAACAGTCGCTAAACGAATGGTTGTAAGTCAAGGACTATCTGTAAAGGAATTCAGCACCCTAAGAATGAGCTACAACATCAACAGTCTGTTGAAAAGCTGGAAAACCGAAAGACGCTTTTTACAGTTTTCATTCTGATATAATATCTTCTAGACCAGTGTTTCTCAATCTTGGCAGTTTAAAGATATGTGAGCTCCAATTCCCAGAATTCCACAGATCTTCAAGCTGCCAGAGATAGAGTGTTCTAAAGTCTTAGAATTTAGAGCCATTTTACTTAGCCTCCAGGATACTGGATTTCAATTTCTATCACCTATCTTTAGAATTTTGGCTAAGGGTAAGCCAAAACAACTGGAACAGATGAAGAAATATTGCATTTACTAGAGAAGATATGAGTTTTCTTCTAAAGAATGACTTGTAAATTGGGAACAGGAATGGTGAGTTATGTTGTGCTACATTTATGTAAAAGATCTTGGAAAACAAGATAATAGGAAAGATGCAAGTGACCATACATATTGAGGGTTATTCCTAGGGAGCGGTTGTTTGCTGGTTGGTTTGATCTTTTCTCACCTCTCCCTGCTTGCTGTTTTCTCTTTTCCCCTTTCCCTTGTCATCCAGTGGCTTCTTGGAGGTGTATATACAAACAGGGATAGAATCAAGATCACGTAAAGTGTTAATACCACTTTATAATGCTTTGGTAAGGCCACACTTGGAATACCACATCCAGTTTGGTCACCACGATGTAAAAAAAGATGTTGAGACTCTAGAAAGAGTGCAGAGAACAGCAACAAAGATGATTAGGGGACCAGAGGCTAAAACATATGAAAAACAGTTGCAGGAACTGGGTAGGTCTAGTTTAATTAAAAGAAGGACTAGGGAAGATGTGATAGCAGTGTTCCGATATCTCAGGGGCTGTGACAAAGAAGAGGGAGTCAAGCTATTCTCCAAAGCACCTAAGGGCAGGACAAGAAGCAATTGGTAGAAACTAATCAAGGAGAGAAGCAACTTAGAACTAAGGAGAAATTTCCTAACAGAACAATTATTTATTTATTATTATTTATTATTTAAATTTTTATACCGCCCTTCTCCCGAGGGACTCAGGGCGGTGCACAGCTACAGTAAAAAACATATATCCATAAAGTTTAAAAACAGTTTAAAACATATTAAATAATTTGGCCCTTATATTAAAAAACTAAAAACACCCATTAAAATTCGTTATTTAAGCCAGTCCAACTTAATCAGTGGAACAACTTGCCTCCAGAAGTTGTGAATGCTCCAACACTGGAAGTTTTTAAGAAGATGTTGGATAACCATTTGTCTGAAGTGGTGAGGGTTTCTTGCCTAAACAGGGGGTTGGACTAGAAGACCTCCAAGATCCCTTCCAACTCTGTTATTCTATTCTATTCTACATATAATATGGGCATACAAATATGTCTCATGCATAGATTTTTTGATGAACAGAGTGAAAAATATCCATAATAGATTTCAAATAGAGTTAACCTTAGATTAACAAAATAGAGAACCTGCATACTGCATAGGATTTTATCAATAAAGGAGAATATTTGTAGCTCAGGGTTGAAATGAGTTGAATTTATTTATTTATTTTATTAAATTTTTATACCGCCCTTCTCCTGCTGGACTCAGGGCCGTGCACAGCCTAGAATAAAAAACATCCCAATCCAAATTTAAAATTTTAAAAGAATTAAACAAATTTTGGCCCAAAATTTAAAACCTCCCGACTAAAATCCATTTACAATTAAAAATATCTAAGGGGAGGGGGGGTTACGCCAGCCCAGCTTGATGAAATAAAAAAGTGTTGAGGGCACGGCGAAAAGCATGGAGATCTGTATCCTATGTATCTCCAGGGGCAGGTCGTTCCAGAGGGCAGGAGCTGCCACAGAGAAGGCCCTCCCCCTGGGGGTCGCCAGCCGACATTGCCTGGCTGACGGCACCCTGAGGAGTCCCACTCTGTGGGAGCGAACTGGCTGGTGGGAGGCTATTGGCGGCAGAAGGTGGTCCCGTAAGTACCCAGGCCCTATGCCATGGAGCGCTTTAAAGGTGGTAACCAACACCTTGAAGCGTAC